TAAAGCAGTTGACCAGATGACCTTAGAACAGACCAACAAGGGCTATGGAAATGAGATCCTAGTAATCATGAGGATTCTTTAAATATGGAAGACAGTGGCAGAAGAGTCAACGTTGGTGAGATATGGCCCGAGAAAGACTTGGCCAACATCACTAGCTTTGAATATAAAAGGAGCCCATGAGCCCAGAGTTGAGGCAGCTGGTAGAATGTGGAGGAGACAAAAAAAATAGATTGTCTCCATAATTTCTGAAAAGAAATAAAACTTTGCCTTCAATCCAAGTTTATCCAGGTGAAACTCATTTCAGACTTCTGAACTACAGAATGGGAAGATAACAAGTTTATGTTGTTTTAATCCATCAAGTGCTCCTAGGTGTACATGCATACAACCATAGGCATGTGCATTTTGGGTGTCAGTGTCAGCTAGTGTTGGAAGCTATGGAAAAAACCAAGCTGGCTAAAGAGTAATAGGACTATTTTAAATGAGATGGTCTGAGATGAGGTGATGTTTAAGGAGATTTGAGGTTCTTTTAACACAAGATATCTGGAAGAACATTTGGGAAGAGTCACCAGCAAATACAAAGTTCTCCCCCAACCAGCCCAGTCAGACATGAGTTTGGCATGTCTGCCGAAGAGAAGACCAATGTGGTCGTAGGAAAACTATGGAAATAAGTGTCATTGGTTATATTTAGGGGGTGTTTATTCTGGAAGGGAGTGGGAATGACCCTCTTTATTATTCATATTTTGGAGAAATAATGTGTTACTTTGTACAATTAAAAATGTCATCGGAGTCGGAGAGATAGCTCAGTAGAAAAAGTGCTTGCTTGGCAAGTGCAAAGTCCTGAGTTCAATCCCCTGTACCTCATATAATAATAATAATAATAGTAATAATAGATGTCTTATCATACTAAGGTGTAAGTCATTGTAAGTATAAAAGTAGCAAGTGCAAAGGAGAGAATATAGCAGATACTGGAAGCTTCTCTGGATCACTGTGTATACAACAGAAGAAAAATAGAAAAATGATCCAGAAGGGATCAAAACATGTTGTGACTTAAATGTATTCATTATCTATTCTCATCTTAATTTTTGTGGTCCTGGTGAGTGAGCCAAGGGACTTTGGATTGAGATACATCTCCAGTCTCCTTCTCAATTTTTTAAACAAAATTTCACTGAATTGTCCAACCTGGAATGGAACTAGCAATCATCCTGCCTCAGCATCTCAAAGTGCTGGGATTCCAGAGATGTGCCAGCACACTCAGCTCTGTGTCCACTTTTATATGTTTCTTCCCACTGAGTCTGGACAGAGAAGTGAGGAACAAAATGTGTATTTGTGTGTGCACATGAACAAGTATAAGGTCCCAGAGTTCCTAGATACACAATGATTTGATTTGAAGGTAAATTCTTAGATGCATGCAATGGGGAAGACCAATGAATCATCTACCTTCAAATTTTTGCTTCTCAGACCACCTTAGCGGTACTAATGTTTGGAATCAGACTGCTTTCCTTTGGGTTTTGCTCTGGTCTTACCAGCTTTGAGATTAGGGCAGCCATGGTCCTATGCAAACTTGAGGGTTTTTTCCCCCCATAATCACATATGGTTGTTAGAATTTTGATAAAGAATAATTTCATTTACAGAACTGAAACACAAGACCAATGTTTGGAAGTTAATAGCCCAACAAGTCTTAGGTGCTATTGCTATTGTTTCTGTCCTCTGTTTTGGGCCTCAGGTAATGTCTTTTGCACATACTGCATGCCAATGCCCAATTCCTGCCATCTCCTCCTGATCTGATACATCAGAGCCACTCTGAAAATTGTATTTGCAATAGCCAATTTGTTGCCACTTTGCACATATAAGTGAAGTCTCTGTAATACTCAGCACTTATCCCTGGAAAATGGAATGTAACTCAATTGCATTTACCAGAATCTCTTCCTGTGACTATCATTCTACTTCAACAATATTCAAGTGTTTCATCAGGACAAATTTGTCAAGAATTTCTAGGAACAGATTTTATGTTCATTAAAAATGTTAATTAGGACTTTGTATGGCATAACTCCAACTGAGTAGGATCTCTGCACTTTTTATGCAGCTGGATAAGAACACAGTTTCAACTCAGTGACAAACTTAAAAAGTCAAAGGTCGTAACAGACCCTTTGATTTCCTTGAGACTTTCTCCATGGGATTTAAAGGCAGTGTCTTGAATTCAAAAGTTTTCAATTTGTCGGTAGTTCACTTCAGGGAAATTTCTTTACTTCTCTGAGTCTTGATTTCCTCACTCTGCACTATGCTTGCCAAGTATTTTCTTTCCTATTTAGGAAAGTGCTAATTTAATTTAGAACCTCTATGTTCTCATAACAATAACAATGTAGAATTATTTTTACCAACATGTAAATGGGAAGGAAAAATGGCTTTCCTAAGCCATCAACAAGGTCTTTAGGTCCAGCTGTTTGATTATTGTAGATTCCTTTTGTTGTTATTTATTTTCTTTCTATGTGACTTAAGTTCTCAGAATGAAAAATGCTACTTTCTAACAAAAGAATACATAAATAGTTCAATATTGCAAAGTGATTCAGAAGACATTAATCTTCCAGGGTTAGAGACTACTTTTAAGAATATGTTTACATATTAGGTATTATAACAAAATCTTTTACTTTAGCCACATTTCCATCAAGAATTAAAGGAATCAAAATATTTCTGGGTTTTTTTGTCTTTTTTTTTTTTTTTTTTTGTGGTACCGGAGATTGAACTCAGGACCATGTATTTGCCAGGCAAGCGCCTATTCTACTGCACTATCTCCCTGGCCCAGAAATCAAAATATTTCTAATTTCTCAATATTAGTGAACATGAAGCCATCAAAAAAGAAAAACACACAAAAAAGCTCTTAATCAGATTTAATGACATTTCAATCAAGATATGGACCATTTTACTAAGATTTGAAATTATGCCTCAATTGGAAATTTGGATTAGAAATATGTTCTTTTGAACATTCAGTTCCCCTTTCTTTACTTTTTTATATTTTAGGGAAGCGTCTACAGGGTGTTCAGGGTCTCACTACCAGATCAGACTCATAGTGATTCTCCTGTTTACAGCCTCCCAAGTGCTGGGATTACAGGTGCACACCACAACGCCCAGTCTCAATTGCAGTCTCAGTGCACCACGGGGACAGGGCTGGCATGGCAGGCCTGGGGATTGAACTCCTGGCCCCTGCACCTGCTTGTAGGCACTTTAATCTGCTGAGCTATTTGGCCAGAACTTGATTCCCTTTTCTACCAATGAAAGTATCCCTTTCACTCATTTTAGTTTGAAGCCATGACCACTGTCCCACCTTGAGTGAATCGCAACATCTATCCTTCCTTTGCTTTGAGGATTGCGCCTCTGTTGTTTTATTCAAGTGCTGACATTCCTCCATGATTGAACGATAGATATAATATCCTCAGTCGTAGGTGGTTGGGTTGAATTGTTCTCCTACCAAGACAGAAAAAGTACAACTTAGTTTACTTTAACAATGTGCATTTTAGAAGCAAGAAGAGCTCTAAGTTAAATATCAACCATGCAGTCAGTCCCTAGTATCTTATCTTAATCTGCTGTGTCTGTACCACTGTGCTTAGTACAGGACAGGCACATTGTTCTAATGTTAGGGAGATTATAATTTAATTAGGGATAAATGTATGGAGAGAAATTTGAAACAAGAAGTAAAGTTGATAATATAGGGTCATACTCTGTATGACCATGGACTTTAAATTACAGAAATTAAGATTTTGTATTTTCTACCTATCTAAATGACAGGATTTATACAGGCCAATGTAGTTTTATTTATCTTTATGGCTTTATAAAGCACTCATCAGGGGCTTGCATGTAACAACTTCTGAAAATGAAGAGAAAATGTCATGAAATGAATGTGATTCTATAAGGTGATTTCCTGCAGGAGATACCTCTACAATAGGCTCAGTATGCAGGATAGAATTCAAAGATATTTAAAAAACACAAAGTATTCTGCAAGTATCTCTACAAAGAAACAGACCATGCTTGACTTTCCACCATCCTGACCTTGCTTTAAATATATAAATATTTATATATATATTTTTTCTTAATATACATTTTATTAGTATATGTTTGCAGTACATAAATTTTACATTGCTGTGTGGAATTAGTGTATGTACACAATGCATAGTGTTTCCTTGTCTCTTTATTTTCCTTGTTTTTCCCTCTCTCCATCTCTCTTTTTTAATTTTCACAGCAAAACAGTATTTTATTTATACTTTTGCAAAGTTAGTAACAAAGTTTCCTAGTGACTAAGAGCCAACATTAACCAGACAGGGCATTTATCTCAGGACTAAGGTAGCTTGTTTGCTTTAGGCGCTGAGGCCTAGTCCCAGCTATACACATTTGATCAATTTCATAGCTTCCGTGGTTCCCACCATACCCTCATTTTTTTTTTTTTGGAGGTGGGTGTTTTATTGCAATTAGAAAAGCTATATTTGGAAAAGTCGAATCTGTATGTGGAGAAGTCTTTAAAGGACCTTTTCATACTTGATGCCCGTTCAAAGATTGTAGGTACTTGAATTCAGCAAAATAACTCAATAAAGTCTAATAATCCATAATAGTAGTGAGTTATCAGCACAACTGGCAAATGTCCGAAGTTGTTGACTTAAGCCTTTTACAGCTCAGCATATTACTATAGCTTTACTTCTTATACCTTGTGGTTATACTTTTCTACTGGATGCTTAAGACCAAGCTAAAGTAGACCTATATAACTAAAAATGTAACTTTTTCTATCTGACAAGGCCAGTCAAATTCCCTCAGGGTTTACCCTGGAACTGTGTGCAGCAGTTTTTAGATCTTTTGTCATTGCCAGCCATGTGGATGAGTCATGATCATTGCTTGACCAATTTGCTCTCTGTGAAAACCTGAGAGATTTTTTTCTCTCCATGTGACTCTCCTTAGCCACATTATACATCATCAATCACTTTTCTCTGTGGCCCCATAATCTCCTTGACCATAAAATTTGGGACATCACTGAGTTACAAGATGTCAGAGCAGAGGTTCTCTTATGTCCTGAGTTCTCACTGACCTTGAAGGGCTAGGGCCAAAATATTGGCTATCCTTTTACCCCATATATTTCTCTAATTTTTGGTCTGCAAACCTTAGTTGTGAAACATCCAGAAGAGAAGCTTAATGATATTATTACCCTGTAACAGAGACAGTTAAGTTTAACATCATTGTCTGTCTCAATATCAAAAACCTTATGTCTAAGGTGTTTATTTATATTTTAAAGACAGTATATGCACACAGGTGAAAATACAAAAGGTCTGGGCTGGGATTATAGTTCAGCAGCATAAGCACCTGCCTGGAAACTTCAAGGTCCTGAGTTCAATCTGCGGGAACCCCCCCTGCAAACAAGATCAGAAAACAAATGTTCTTCAGCTTGTCCCTTCCTTCAGCAATATGGAAAGCACTTTTAAATATTTTTTTCTTTGTGATACAAATTATGACATATTTTTAACAGTGTCCCCTTACGTTTTAACATGCTATATGCTCTTTACATTGATAAAGGCCCTTTTTACTTTTCTTACTGTTGCAAAGCAATATCTCGTCTACAATATATATGACTAGAGCCTTGTTAATTAGAAATTGTACAAAAGAACTTATAATTTGAGAAATGCTAAGCCCTTATTCTAAGAGCAGTACAATGATTTATTTTCTCTTAACTCACTCATTGATGGATAATATGCTTTTCACCAAAAAAGCATTCATATTCACATGGAAGCATAAATAGTTTAATAACATTGTAATTATTTGTCTTACATGATATGTACAAGTATAGTTGATCTGTACTATTTATTGTAGTTGTAGTCTATAGGCTCTTGAATAAGGAAATGCTGAAACAATGCTCCAAGAGAAAGTGCAGGATTAAACACCTGACTATCTCTGGCGGAGGCATTTTCATCTATTTATTAATACATAACCTGCTATTTTTTTTGTTTAAACTACTTTGCTTAGTACATGTTGATGATTTTGCTAACACTGAATTAGGAACCATGATACTGTAGTATGAACCCAATGGAAGATTACATAACCCATTCTTTTTTTTTTTTTTTTTTTTGGTCAAGTCAAGCGTACTCACATGAAAGAACACCGGCTGGTTCTGCAACCTGCAAGAACAAAGAGTATAAAAGTTAAGTCCACAGAAAACACATTGCAAAAAGGAAACTTTTTCCACTAAGCACGTTTGTGTCAATGTGAGGCAGAGTATCATGTTGTATAACTTCTGTTGATATTATGGCCATGGAACCTCTTGCCCCTGAGCTCCTGGATGACAGTTCCCAAAAGATTATTGGTACTGGTTTCACTGTGACAAACATTTCTCTAGTGTGGAGACAAATTTGCTAAGACAAATCTGTGAGAGGGAATCAACTGATACATTTGTTATTTAGAAAAAAGTGTTGATTCTCTACATTACAAAATTTAAAGAGTTTAAATGTATACTGCATGTTTGATAGACATGTGACTAAATAACAAATTAAAAAAAAACATTGGAGGATACTGCCACATATGCACATGAGTGTATGAAACAATGAATAAATCTGTATCTATGTACAATTCAGGAACCTCCAACTATTCCATTTTTAGCAGCAGCGGCTGTACCTGAGTATGCTCAGTTCCTGGGGCAGTCAGATCAGCAGAAAATCTCCGCATTCATAGTCTGTACCTCATTAGCAGCCTTTTGATACAATGCCTGCAAATTTTTCCATTGAAAAGTTCTTCCACTATCATTTCTCTCAGGATGACTACAGTAGGAAATCACTTTCTTTTTATATAATTTACAGTCAAAACCATTTATCAATTTTAATATTTCATTAGTACAGATGACTATAGCCACCAACAAAATTCTCTCCACTTAAAAAAATTATATATAATTTCTACTGTTAGTTTTCATGACAATGTTAGAGTGGAAGTGCTTATTTTTACTGTTTTTTAATAATTTTATTGAGAAACAAATAGCAATGAGACAGTTTCAAAACCAATTATAGGACAGTTTCAACAATTAATACATAGCGTATTGTTGTCTTAGTGGTTATTCATTGTACAAGTGGTCATCCATTATTCAAGATGCAGACATGATACCTTGTCCACAAACACTATTATAACAAATATTTATACTCATTTAAGAGAAAGTAGCTGTATATCCTAACTATTTTGAATATACAGATACAAAATGGTCTTTCATTTGTATCCCCTTTTTTGTTTAGTTTTCTCAGAGATGGGTATTCCATTGTCATTTAAATATTGTAGGTGAGTGAATTCAGCAAAGTATTCCAATATAGTCCAGTAGTTCATAATAGTAGTGGGTTTTCCATAAGACTGGTAATGTCAGAAGTTGTTGACTTGAGCCCTTTACAGCTCAGCATATTAATATGGCTTTACTTTTTAAATTCATTTTTATACTTTTCTGCTGGATGGTTAAGACCAAGATAAAGCAAGACCTATATGACCAGAAATGTAACTTTTGTATCTGGCAAGGCCAGTCAAATCCCCTCAGGATTTACCCTGAAATCCTGTACAGCAATTTGTAGATCCTTTGTCAGTGTCAGCCATGTGGATGAGTCACGGCCATTGCTTGACTAATTTGCTCTGTTTGAAAGCCTGAGAGAATGTTCTCTCTCCATGTGATTCTTCTTAGGCACATTCTACATCATCCATCACTTTCCTCTTTTGCCCCATAATCTTGATCAGAAAATTTGGGACACAACTGATTTACATGATGTTACAGTACAGGTTCTCCTAAAATGTCAAAAGAGTGTCTTGCTACAATGCCGTATACGGTTAGATTTCTAAATTTCTGTGTAAAAATATGTAATTATTTATTCCTATTTTTAAAAGTATTTTTTAATTTTTTTTTCTTCATAATCTGTAGGGACTCAAAGCTTAACATATCAATATTTGATAGAAAACACCTATTCCACGTTATGTCTAAGATGTTTGATATTCAGACAGATAGTGAGGTTGAGCTCAACTGCCTATGTTGTAGGGTAATAATAATAAGCTTCTCTTCTGGAGGGTTAACAACCTAAGTTTGCAGACCAAAAATTAGAGAAAAAGAAGGGCTGCAAGGACAGCCAACATTTTGGCCCTAGGAAATCATTTTCTACCATTTTCACCTGATATTTGCAAATCTCTAAATGACTGCCAGGAGGATTGTCCCTTCTTTACCTTTACCTTTAGACTCTTTTCACCTTTAGACTGTTCCTTTTGACCACAGCAAACATTCCTGAAGCCTTAAAGGCTATTGTCTCACTATTGCTAACACTGTTTACATTGCAGTGGATTAGCTTCTAGTAGTTCTGTCTCCTGGCCTCTTGTCTAACCTTTGGTTATTATATCTATCCTCAGATTCTTTAAAAGAGTCTTTGTACTGCACACACACACACACACACACACACACACACACACACACTTTTCTTATTTGGAGATCTTCACAACCTAAGCCAAGCTCTTGTTTTAATTTCATGTTTTAAAATACATTCACAAACATCTTTAGACATGGAACCAATATACCAAGAAGAAAACTCTTTACTCTCTGGAATTCTTCTGCACAAACCATGATGAACACCTTCATGTTTTGGTATATTTTGCACTAAGTCTTGCTTCTTCTTGATTTTCCTAGTAAATCCACTTGAATTAACCTCCCTATATCCATGTTCCATGGAAGAAAATGCCTATCTCCACATCACTTTTCACTATGTTGTCTCTCCGTAGCCAAAGACCACCAATCCACACCTCTCTTCTATATCTTGGGAAAAATACTCAACCAAAAATTGGAACAGTGGGAAATGTGTTGTTCACTTGTCACAAATGTTAAGCTGCAGAAAGTAACAAAATAACAACAGAAGTAGGAAGTAAGAGTACCAGTAACAGTTGAGTAACTATCATACTTTTGCTTTACATGAAAATGTTTATAGCATTTTCAGTGCTATTTGGAAGCCTTCATCCTGTTTTCCTCTGAACAAATATTTTTTTCTGAGAGTTCAAAATGACTAACATAGAAGTGAGATTTGGGACACAGTATGTGTGTGGGACATGTCCACAGGCACAGGAATCTACCTTGGAAACTTGTCCCTGAAGAGAAGAACATAATCCTTCCCAGGTTGATAAGAGTGGAGTCAGTGGCAGAATCTTCTGGGATCTACTTACCTATCTCAAGCTTTCACTACTTCAGGGGTGACAGAAAAGCAGTCCCCCATGTGGCTTGTCGCTAGCATGCACCTACACAGCTGAGGCACTAAACAGCACTTACTAACTCAGACTTTCACAAGGGATCTCCCTGTCCCCAGGTCATTTTAACAATGACATCCGATAACTTTCTTGATTTGGAAAAGAACAGATAGATTTCTGAGCTCTCAGTTGGAGCCAGGAACTGTGCTGACCAGAAGTTTTTCTCATTTCATTGCAAAGAAAACTATCCAGAGAATAGTCTTTCTTCACTGAGTCAAACACCATCAAGATCAGGAAAGCAGAGGTAACTAGATGAGTTGGGCACACATTCTATTTCTCGATACTTACCTGCTAACTCCCACCCCCATTAATCAGTTAAGAAATAGGGAGTGTACTCTATGGAGTTGTTGAAATGCCTGCCCTGTAGCACAATTCAGGAAGGTAAGCAGAGGGCCACCTTTTCAGACTTACAGGTCCTCTACTCTAGAAAGTGCAGACAGAACTCCAAATAATTTATTTTTAAATTATAACTCTGATCCTCTATAGCTTAAGACTATATAAGTCTAAAGCACATCTATCTACAGGCAGACATTGGGAGCTTAGAATGCGAGTGTAAAGAAGACCCCAAATATAAAGTCTGTGCCGCGTGTCATGACCACTAAAACATTTTTTCTTTGTAATTTGGAGGAATTCGTTACACAGAAGATACATTGAAATTAGACAATGTCACAGATTCTTACCTGAACGCTGAACTCCACAACAGCAACAACTCCGGTCCCTGTCATCCAAGTCTGACTTTAAATTGTCAGGTGGTTTTTAAAAAAGTCAATCCAGTGATGATTAACCATGTTGGGTCATCACCTTAAGCAAACAGAAGAAAATTATCTAGCTGTTACTAGTTTACCGTAAACTTGCAGAGTTTAACATTTGTATTAATAATTTCTCAGAATGTATACATTATATTGGTGTTATTTTTTGAATCCCTGATTCTGAAAACGACATGTGTCATTTATTCAATTGATTGTATTCAAATATTTTCTTTAGATACATAAATAGAAAATATCTTCCAAGATTTTGAAAACCTTCCAAATAAAACAAAATCAAAAGAAATTTTTTGAGTGTGTCTACAGGTTACATTTTTTTTTCTTTCTTGTAGTTTTTAGAGAAGGATCTACAAGGTATTCAGGGTCTCACTACTAGATCGGACTCATAGTGATTTGCCTGTTTACAGCCTCTCAAGAGCTGGGATTACAGGCACATGCCACCACGTCCAGTCTCAATTGCTGTCTAAGTGTGCCTCTGGGGCGGGACCAGCACACAGGCCCAGGTATTGAACCCCTGGCCCCTGTGCCTGCTTGCAGGTGCTTTAATCTGATGAGCTATTTGGCTAGCCCATACATTAATATTTACAAGATAAAATATACCTATAGAGTTCTAATATGGTATAGATACTGGATGACAATGGATGTACCACATGGAATAGCAAATTGCCCATGAACTACAATGTGGGTCTGCTATCTGACACAATCAATAATGCATGGCAGATTCTGTTTACATAAAACCTGAAGAAAGTATGATCACATAGTTTCTTTCAATCACATGTTATATTGATTTTAGAAAAGAGAAGAGCCTGATGCAGTTGTAAGTTTCGCAGGACTGAAGTATAGCTGAATTAATAATTCAAATATTTTTTACTTCTACTGTACCCCCAGCATAGTGCTTTGTTTTGGAAGCATGCTAACGTAAATAAGGCAAAGTCCCTTCACTTACATATGTGTGCACACGTATGTGTACAGAGGGTCAGACAGCTAGAAATACAGATGCATACATCAAAATATTATTGCTTCTTATCACTCCTGAGGGACAATTATTGGTAACGTTTCATCAAAATACCATTCCAGCTCCATAGTCAGAAAATTCTGATGCGGTAGGCCTGAGATACAGTTTTTGTAATGTTAATTTTTATTCACTGCTAGATTTTTTGAAACATATTTGATACAGGGTCTCACTATGCAGCTCTTACTCATAGTGATCCTCCTGCTTTCAGGAGGAGGATCTCTCTCCAGCACTGGGATTACAGGCATACACCACCATTCCTGGACTTGGTGGCCAGCTCAGTGCACCCGGGTGTGGGACTGGTGCAGCATGTGGTGTCGAGGATCAAGCCCCAGTCCCCATGTGCTAGCCAGGCAGGGGCGTAAGTCACTGAGCTATCTCCTCAACCCCACTGCTAGATTTTGAGATCATCTTATCCAAGATCTGAAATATTTTTAATCATTTTTATGCACTTCCATTTAGAATTCAGTGATAATGTGGGTGTTCTAATGCTGAAAGTTTCCACAATATTCATTCCAAAGAGGGCACATCTTCTTGTTTCAGAGGAGTGTATTTTCAGAATAAAGAAAACAGCACAAATTAACTGTAAGTTTTCAGACTTCCTAGATGAAGTTGTTAAAGACTTAATTTCATGTGGTTTTAAGGACCAAATAAGATGTTCTCCTGTTTCTTTCTTCCTCTTTAAAGAATTACCAAGCTCTTCTTATATGACTTGTGGAAAAGTAAGAATGATCAGAGAAAAGGCATTGCAACAGGTCTTACAAAATCACTATTATGTTAATAGCCTTGGGTCAGTAGAATTGCAAAATTTTGCTAAAAGTTTATTAATATTTATTTAAGAGATAATCACAGTTCTGATGAAATAACATGGTCTCTGAAATCTGATACTTTGCCGCCAGTTAGCCCTTGCTATTTGTCGGACGCATGAACTTGATGAACCCTAACCTTTCTGAACTTCAGCATCCACAGTGATGAGACCTCAGTGCTTGAGGGAAGACTATGGATATCCCTTATATAAAGGGCCTTCTGTTGTACTTGTAGCTCCAGCACCTAATTTGAGTCATTGTATGGCATTTGCATATCATGAAGTTCAGATCATCCAATACAAATTGAATGGTTAAAAATAAGATATTTAATATACATGTGCTCTGCAGTTTCTCAGGATCATTTCTATTCCAGCATCATCAGGTTCTGTGGCTCAGGTGGGGGCCTTCAGTGTCACACAGCAAAGTGGTCTCCACCTTCCCATCACATCTCCCCTGGCTGTGGTCCAGAGAAACTCCAGAAAGCTGTGCACTCTTGGAGGGAATCCCCACACCTCCGTCTTTGCTCACTCAGAGATTTCCTGTCATTACAGCTGTAATCTTTTGTAGCAAGGCTCTCTACCTTGAAAGAAGGTAGGGAGTTCCTGATCATTAATATCTTCTCTCTAATTCCCAATTGGTTGGGTATTCCTGCTGTACTTCCTCATCACCTAAATGATTAATCAGAAGTATTCCCTTTACCTGCCACCTTTTCCAGAATTTTTCTGATTTGCCCTCTGGCTCTTGAAGTTGCCCTTTTCCTTAAGACACACTGCCTAACCTGCAGATGTGACAAGTGGCAGTCACCTTACCCCCTCCAGATACCACTTCAGGCCACTCAGACTTATTTTGCAATGCATTTCACCTTGTTACATCCTGTCCATTTTCCCAGTCTCACCCCTGAGAATCTTGTGTCAAGACCTTTCATTCCACTCCCCTTGAAAAACTCCCTCTCTTATCTAGCAGCTTACTGGAATCATCTGTCAACCCCTTCGCCCCTCCCACTAATTTAATGAAGGTTTTAACATTTGGTTCAAATCCTAACCCTCAAGATACTGCTCCTTTTATAATTATTGATGGCTTCAATGGCCTTGAAGAGAAATCTTTTAATATATTGACTTATTGGTTTTATTGAACCATCTCATCTTCCTAGATCTCAGCTTCAATTCATCCCTATAGACAAGTCTTACACTTTGACACACCCAACCTGGAACGCTCCATACAATCTTTCAAAGAAAGAATCTTCAGTGCTTCCCTGTCTGGAATTTACAATCCACACATTGATTTTGCCAGATATCTCACCATTCTTTTTCTCTCTCTTGTCCTCATTCACCTTTATATGGGCACTAAGCTTCATGGTCTTGATAATTCCCCTCTCCCAAGCATCTTCAAGCCATGTTTTATTTTCTCACACCATTCTAATTGCTTAATATACCATAGCCATGATTGAATCCAACTCTTTGACTTCTCTGCTCACTTCTACAAGGAGCTGAATGCAGCTGATGAAAACTCCTGTTCTATTTTGACTTTAATTTGTGCCATGTATGGGAATCCATGATGAAAATGTATGAATGAAAGTGCTTTACATCTGAGCTGTAGATGTGGTCACCTGACAGGTCAGCTAAGGACTCTGCATACAAAGTATGATATAACTTGAAGAGAGGCCATGGCTCTGCAGCCGCAGGATGGAACACAGTTTCTGGGCTGCCCCCAGTCAATCCTGACTGATTAGTTAGGAATGTTCTAGTCTATCACCCAGTCCCTAGTGCTATCAGCTCAAGTGTAGCATGTACTTTTCCAAACTGTCTTTTGGTTTTTTACTTAGACTGTCTTTGTTCCCTTTATGTACCTAGGACAGAGTATGGCTTTCATAAACAGAGGGGTCATTGACCTCTCTTTATGTCATGAGTCTTCTTTCATCATGTGACATGAGTCATCAGAGATCAGCCCCAGTATTAATAATTGGGGAGGACTGGCCAGAGAGCTCAGTGGGTTAAAGCACCTGCTTAGACAGACATAGGGACTGGGGTTCGATCCCCAGCATGCCATGCTGGCCGTGCCCCCAGGGCATGCTAAGAGGGTGACTGAGATTGGGTGTGGTGGCCCGCAGATGTAATCTCAGCACTTGGGAGGCAGAAAATAGGAGTCCATTCTGTGTAGCGAGACCCTGTTGACCCTGTACTAAATACATAAAAAAATAACAATTGAAGAACTACAGTCATGCAGCTCAAGTAAGCCTTTTATTTTGCCTTAGAATCCTACTGTGTTTTCCTAGTCCATTTCATCTTGCTTTCTGCATAACTATTTTGCAGCCTCACCTCTCTCGTTAAAGTTTTAACATATCTCTCCTTGCCTTGTCTTCATCTGTAGCCCCATTTCACTATGACACACACTGAAGCATCCTTTCAAAAGACCTCTGCTACACCCATCTTCCAGCAGCATCAGTCCCAAAACTGTGGCTTAAAAAAATGCCTATGTATGGCCAGGGAAATGGTTCAGTAGAATAAGCACTTGCCTGAGTTCAATTCCGGTTACACACACACACACACACACACACACACACACACACAAAGGACAAGGGCTGGTGAGATGGCTCAGTGGTCTAAAGCACCTACTTAAAACAAGCTTAGCAAAGCACAGAGACTGCGGTTCAATCCCCCAGCACCACATGCCAGCCAGCCCTGCCCCCTGGTGGGCTGAGCTGGCCACACACACACACACACACACACACACACACATAAATAAATAATTAAAAAAAAAAGATGCCTATGTATCAGCTAAGGCCAACTTCCACTTGTGCTCCTAACTATCTCCTTTCCTTGTGTTTGCAAGGATATAAGCTTTCTCCTTGCTTGAGTTTTACTATTGATAGATCCTCAGCAAATAGGGAGAAAAACTAGGCATGGACAGAGGGTTGAGAGCAGGGAGGGCAAGGGGAAGTGAAAAGGCCTCAAGTGTGTAATGAACATGTACTAAGAAACACGAAAGGACCTCCTACTCAACATTACCATTAGTATATGTGTTGTATGACTTTCATATCTTCCTTTTAATTCACTGACTACTTGATTTGTCCTATTTTCTAAACCATTTCTACATCTGTGGCTTGTTACCGCCAGCGTCTCAGAATCCAACAATTGCATTTTGGTGA